GGGCTGGATAGCCCAAAGCATTTCTGTTTTGTGATTTGTGGTGTGACCAGAAGTGGGGCTCAAAAACCCTGGAAAAGCGCCCAGAGAACCACCTGATCGCCATGGAGGGCAAGGGCAAGAAGGGTGAGGAGAGCAAGGGCAAGAAGGGCTGGGTGGAGAACACCAGTGGCAAGGGAATGCCTTCAGGTGCAGGAGGAGGAGGCAGTGCTGTCTGGAGACAGAACATGAGGGCCCTGATGGAGTTCCACAACCCTGGCATGGATGTGGGCATGTGGCTGCTCCAGATCTGCCTGTACACCCAATCCCACACTGGGATTAACAAGGCAGACTGGGAAAGCTCCAGGATGTTCCTCCAGAGGGTCAAGAAGGAGGTGGCACCAGGACTGGGTTGGGCAGGAAAGAAACCACCACAGGATTCTGCACAATTTTCTTGGGCTGCATAACCATGTTTTATGTTGGGGGTAAATAAGTTTAAGCTATTAAAACATATTATTGCACATATAAAATTGTGGTTGTTGGGCTGGATAGCCTTCAGTTTTTAGGCTGGATAGCCTTGAGCCATAACCATGCACATTCACCAATTTCCTGCTCCCTGGCAGAAATGGTGGAGCAAGATTTCTACGAAATCATGGTGGAGAGGATGAATGAAGCAGTCCTGGGAGCTGCGGCAGCAGCCCAATTAGGGCATGGTGTCAACCCATGGGCAGCCACAGCCAACCAAGGAGTGACAAGCAAGGCTGCTGGAGCACCACCCACAGGAGGAGCCACTGCACCACCACCAACTGCAAGAGTCTGGGGAGCCCCCACAGGCACAGGAGCACCAGCCTCCACAGGCACAGGAACACCAGCCCCCACAGGCACAGGAGCACCAGCCCCCACAGGCACCACAGGCACAGGAGCACCAGCTTCCACAGGCACAGGAGCACCAGCTGCCACAGGCACAGGAGCACCAGCCCCCACAGGCACAGGAGCACCAGCAGCCACAGGCACAGGAGCACCAGCCACAGCCACAGCAGCACCAGCTGCCAGAGCCACAGGAGCACCAGCTTCCTCAGCCACAGGAGGAGAAGCAGCACCAGCAGCAGATCCAACAGCCACAGGAGGTTTCAGCACTGCACCCTGGAACAACCCAGGAGCAGGCAAGGGATCAGGAGGAGGGAGGAGCACAGAGGAGCCACCCTTTTCTGCAGCCCCAGCAGCAAACACAGGAGAGGGGTCAGAGTGGGGCTGGAATGACTCAACCTGGGCTGGTTGGAGTGAGTCCTGGGATGGAGGATGGAACCAAGGATGGGATCAAGATGGCAGCTGCACAGGAAGTTGGGGAGCAGGAGGAGACCAGGGACAAGATTTACCATGGGCAGAAAAGATTTTTGGTTGCTGATCAATATGTTTTTATAGATTTACTTTATTTTTTTCACCACCAAAAAAAAACAAACAGACAACAATTCCTTTTGCCCAGGAGTCCTGAAGAGCTCGAGGACTGGGAAGGGGGAGACAACACCTTCTGGAATGTGATTGAGTCCATGGATCTGGACTATGTGGTGACCCATTGCCAGCTTGGCTGCATTAATCTGTTTGGCTGGACAGCCAATTCTTGGGCTGGAGAGCCTTGAAAACCTTTTTAGGCTGGATAGCCTTGAAAAAAGTTTTTGGCCTGGAGAGCCCACAATTTCACCTGAGCCATTCCCAGGCCCATCGACGAATATTTGGGATGTGAGGGATCGAATGGGGGGGAAAGGCCAGGCGCGGCAATAAGGAACAGAGCATTACGGCAAAAAAGTAAATACACGCGAGGCCTTCCAAGAGTGAGGCGGAGAAAGGGCCTGTAAAGATACGTCCGCCAGGGTCGAAATAACTGGCGCGACTGTCGGCAGTCTATCGTGAAGCCAACGGAACAGAAGAGGAATAGAGGGGCAGCATGCAATCCCACAGACGCGTTCCGAAACGTAAAACACCTGCCATAATGCGCTGGGAAACGGAAGACGGATCAACGAGACGCGTCGGAGGGCGAAACGCAGGTCACTCTAGGGTATAGTGCATCGTCCCCAGCGCAGAAGAAGTGACATAAAGTGGTATAAGACCAGTAGCAAGAAGGACTCGGAAAAGGCTTACAGGAAGAGCCGAACCAACTAGCCTGGCTTCTTATCCGCCTAACACACCAAGAAGTCTTGCCTGAGGAGTGCCAAGTGCCAAGGTTGCATGAGAACTTTGGCTGCAACTGGGCTGGCTAGCCACACCTGGGCTGGATAGCCCATCAGTCATGGATAGGCTGGATAGCCTTACTGCCCATCCCAGGATATGGATGCAACAGCTACAGGGGCCGCTCCAAGACTGTAGACTTCATTCGACAAGTGAGGAGAGCTGGGCAATGGGATCTGCTTAGTGAGATTGAAAAGGCCTACAAATAGGCAAGCCCTGGTACAGAAACATGGCTGGTCTGGAAAGTCCAAAATTCAAACCAACAAAAAACACATATATTTTTTGTTTTGCTGAAAAATCCAGCCATTTCAAAGAGGGCAAGCCTACCAAAGCAGACTGGCTGGGCTGGAGAGCCCAAAATAAATTACAACAAATGACATTAACCTCACAATATTTAGGTTTTTGTTTGATGGGAAGCTCAGCCAGTCAGATGAGGCCCTGTACCATATTTTCTAAACACCCGATCAGCTGAGGAGTTGTGAGGGTACATGTTTTTAAATGCAAGGGACAAGAACTTTGGGACCCTCTGCACAGTCAAGACTTTGGCGAGAAAAAATGCTGCTGGAACCATGGGGGGATGTGAAGGGATTGGGCTGGATAGCTGGAGGCTTTGGGCTGGAGAGCCCCTGCAATAATTGAAAACCCACCCAGTATTGATAATTTATGGGCTGGACAGTCCATAAAATGGCATGAGGAGTAGCCCACTCACTATTTCAAACCTATTGGCTGGAGAGCCCATTACATATTTCAAATCTATGGGCTGGAGAGCCCATTAAATATTTAAAATCTACAGTATTGGCTGGAGAGCCAATTAAATATGTAAAATCTTTGGGCTGGAGAGCCAGCTAATTATTGAAAAAATCTGAGTTGGAGAGCCTATGGGATATTCTAGGCATAGCCCATTCTATATATGAAATCTATGGGCTTCGGGCTTGAGTTCCAAGTAAAGAATTTAAAATCTATTGGTTGGATAGCCAATTATTTTACATATAGATTTTTGGGATAGCCTTGATCCAAACATTTTTTTTCTTGGGCTGGATAGCCCTGACAAAAAAAGGCTGAGCGGCCTTGAAAAAAATAGATTTAAACAAAACTACAAAAATATCACATGAACACCCATGAACACCCATGAACACCTATGAACACCCATGAACACCCATGAACACCCATGAATTCACATGAACACCCCTGAATTCACATGAACACACCTGAAAATCTATGAATCTGAAATATTTTTTAAAAACAAATAAAAAAACAATTTTTTTCTTTCGAGAAAAAATCATTGTATATTTATTTTTCTGTTTTTTTTGCCAATATATACTTTGGGCTGGACAGCCCCTTGAGCCAAAACAATAAGTACCATTTGCAATAACTATTTTGGACTAGGTATTTGAGCCAGAACAAACACCAACACTTATTTTTTTGGCTGGATAGCCATCAATTTCTTGGGCTGGATAGCCCATTGAGCCACAAAAAAAACACAACACATGTGATTTGATTTGGCCTCAACTTGAGCAATCTGCTTCAAAATCCAGAAAGCTTTTGGCCCCAAGAGAAAACAAAGACCACAGCCATAGCAATGAAGAGGCCAGCAGCAGCAGCAGGCCTCAAGAGGCCAGCTGCCAAGGCAGAGGAAGAGGATACACCTGAGGGTGCTCACCAGCCACTCACAGCTCAAGCAGTCAAGGACCACAACAAGTTTTGTGAGGAGGCAGCCCAAATGTCCAGTTCTCAGTTTGAGAAGGCATTGAGCTGCTTAGATGAGAAGGCTGCAATGAGGTTGTGGAAGGCTTTTGAAAAGCCCAGGAAAAGCTCTGGGGCCCAGGAGGAGTACAAAGCCACCACCAGTGAGTCAGTGGGAAGCCTTGCCAAGAAGCGAAAACTTCTGTTTGGCTGGGTGTGTGATGGGCAGACCACAGGTGAACACTACAAGGCAATGGTGGACAAGGTCTCTTTGAAGAAAAGTGAAGGAGTCACCAGCACCTGGCTCACAAAGGCCCAGGCACTGGCACACTGGGGGAAAGAAGAGTTGCAGGAGAGGGTGGCTTCTGGAAGTATAGTTGCCAGGAAGGATCCAGCAGATCCCAATTACTGGCAGTTCAGGGCCAACACTGAGCAGTCTCAGGTGAATGTGACCAGGGAACAAGCTTTCACTTTTGAGAAGAAGAACAAGAGCAACCTGAAGGAGCTGGAGCAGGTAATGAGGAGCAAGGGCTTAGAGAAGCTCACAGAAGCAGACTTCTGTGCCCCAAGTGAAGAGAGTGGTGAAGACAGTGATGGGCTGCCAGCTGGCCTCTCTAAGGCTTTGGGCACCAAGTCTGACAAGAGCAAGAAGGAGAAGAAGGAGAAAAAAGAGAAGAAAGAAGGCAAGAAGGACACGTGGGAGGAGATGAGCACTGTGCAGGAGGAAGATGGCCAAGCACAACTCCTCAACAGGCTGATGGCTTTCAAGGTGGAGCTCACCAAGGACTTGGCAACCTTGGATGGCTTGTGCCACTCTAAGGACATGCCCAAGGCACTCCTGAAGGATGTTGCCAAGACCCAGAAGGAAGGCCAAGAGGTTTTGACCTTGGTGGGGAAGCTCCACAAAGATAAGGGCAAGAAGAAGGAGGTGGTCCCAGCCTTGCAGAAGGCCTTTGCTGTGCTGAAAAAGCTGAAAGCTAAGAAGCTGCTCGTGTCAAAAGCCTTGAAGGCTTAAACACTTTTTGAAGCAGAGCAGGGGTGCCCACCAAGTGTTGAACTGAACACACAAAATGTCTGTAGTTGAGATCATAAGTGGCACCCCTGGCCAAAGTTTTGCGATGGCAGACTGGCAAACTCAACCTCAAGCTGCTCTTGAAAGCAAACAGGTCAGCTGGGAAGCCCTTTGCCTTTGCTGGGCTGGACAGCCCTTGTTACCATTGTTGGGCTGGATAGCCCTTGAATTGGGCTGGACAGCTCGTGTTATCATTGTTGGGCTGGAGAGCCCTTGACATGGCAATTGGGCTGGACAGCCCTTGTTAAAGCTGAATGAAGTTGCCCCTTTAGCTGCTCAAAAGTTGTGGAGAAATGGACCCATGTCCTTTGTGGGTGCTGTTGCTCAAGAAGTTCAGCATAGGAAAGCTGTCAGCCATAGAAGTGCAGGAGCTTGCTTCAGCAGCAGTTAAGAGTGGGCTGGAGAGCCAGTGTGTGGGGAAGTTGGCTGAGCTTGGGGCTTGTGGGCATTCACCTGGCAATTGCCACAGAGACTTGGTGAGAAAGTATTTTCGCTTTCTAGAAGCTCCAGATCCCTGGGAGGTGTATGGCCCCCTGGCTGTGAAGAAGGGTGGCCATAGAGTAGAGCAGGTGACTGCCATTCACCTCCTGCTACCTCACCACTGGGTCCTTCAGGCTGAAGAGAACAACTTCTTGAAGAGTTTGTGCTGCAAGGATGAAGAATTAGTTGCTTTCTGGAAGAGCCAATCTTCATGCCCCCAGATGACAGCTGAGCTGAAGAAAGTGATTGAAACATCACAACCAAGCCAGCTTCCAGTGCCATACCTTTTGCATGGAGATGCAGCGCCCTTCACAGAGGTGGACAGCATCCAGGTGCTCAGCTTCAGGCTTGGCTTCCTTTCCTGCTTTGGGCTGGATAGCCCTTGCCTGCATGTCCACCTTGGCTGCTATGTTTTGCCTCATTGGGCTGGATAGCCCTTGGGCTGGATAGCCCTGGGCTGGATGCCATGTGCCCTGAAGGTGCTTGCTTTCCAGCAAGGCAGTGACCCAGAGCCAGATGCTAATCGCAGCTGTGCCCAAGGCTGCCATGACCAAGGAGACCCCCAAGAAGCTGATGGAAGTTTTGGTCTTGGAAAGTGCTGTGGGATGGTGTGGTGCCCAAAAAAGATGAGGCAGGGATGCCCACAGAGAAATACAAGGGGAAGAGAATGAGGAGGGGAGTGCTATGGTCAGTGAGTGGAGATTTAGAATGGTTTGCAGCTGAGTTTGGTTTCCCTTATGCTGCAGCCAACCTTCTCTGCCCCTATTGCAATGCAGACCAATGCAAAGAAGACAGCCCCAGGCTTTTCACAGATTTCAGGCAAACCGCAGCCTGGAGAGCCAGTGTGCTGTCACCGAGCAAATTCAAGGAGAAGTTTGGAGCACACCCACTCTTCAGAGCTCCATGTGTGACCCCTTTGTCCATTAGGCTGGACATTTTGCACATCCTGGACCTTGGTGTAGCAGCATATGCACATGGATCTTTGCTTTTTAGCATCATGGAGAAGTTGCCAGGAGCTTCCAGATTTTTGCCAGCAATAGCAGCTTCATTTTTTTTCGGCTGGATAGCCCCAATATAGTGTGTGCAAGCAAACAATTTTTGGCCAGCTGAGGAGCTGTCAGGCTAACCAACCTGAACAAGAAGATAGTGGAAGCCTATGACAAGCTGGGGGTGGCAGCCCAAAAGAGGATCAAGCACCTGTCTTTGTCAGACCTGGCTGAGAGTGCAGAAGAATACCCTTGCCTCAAGCACATCAAAGGAGCTAAAATTCGCTATTTTGCCCCAGTAGCTTTGGAGCTGGCCAAGGAGTACAGCATGGACAAGGCTGGGAAGCACAGGGAAGCATTGGCAAAGCAGTTGGTCAAGGCATACCAAGTCTTAGAGTGCAGCTGGCAAGAATGGCGGTTTGAAACTTTCAAGAAGGCAGTGGATGATTTCATGGCCCACTACAGCTGGCTGGCAGCCAATGCCTTGGAGGAAGGCTTGCACCTTTGGAGTTTAGTGCAGAAATCCCATGTTTTGCTCCATTTAGCAGAGCAAAGCAAATTCATGCACCCCAGCCTGAACTGGACATATGGGAGTGAATCTTTCATGGGCTGGATAGTCCAAATCGCTTCAAGCTGCACAAGTGGCACTCCAGCTGAGAAGCTTCCCTTGAAGGCCTTGCAAAAATTCAGGCTTCTGTTTCACCTTTACCTGAAAGGGTACATCTCGCTGGATGATGATGATGGGAGGTGAGCAAAAAAGAATTGCTTCAGTTCTGTCTTGGTAGGCTGGACAGCCTTTGCAGTCCTGCAGGAAGGAAGGTTGATAGGCTGGACAGCCTCTTGGATTCCACACAAGTTTTGAATGGTTGAGGCTGGAAAGCTTTCTCCACAGCCCTTTCTGGTTCTGGTAGCCCTGCCCAAAAAAGAGAAGCTCCTGTGCCATGGAAGCAGTGCCCAAGAGAAGGAAAGTGAGCTGGGTGAAGGCTGAGGAGACAGCTGACCCAGAGCTTTGGGCTGCAGGCTGGAGGCTGGACCCAAATGAGGATAGCCAAGTCATGGTGCCCCCACCAGAAGAAGATGAGCAAGGAGAAGATGGGCAAGGAGATGGGCAAGGAGAAGAAAGCCTACAAAGAGAAGAAGAAAGGAAAGAACCTGAAGAAAATTAGGTGTACAAAGCAGGGCTGCTGTGGACTACCAAAGCTAGCCCCAGGGGAAAAAGGTTGCTCCCACTGGCTGCCTTGCCATGGGCTGGACAGCCCCAAGTTGTGGGCTGGAAGTGGGCACACAATTTCCCATTGGGCTGGACAGCCCCATCACCACCACATGGGCTGGACAGCCCCACCATGGGCTGGACAGCCCCATCATGGGCTAAGCCTCTAAGCCTCTAATGTCTGGAGGCAGCCTGTAGCCCCTAATGTCCGGAGGCAGCCTGTAAGCCTCTAAGCCTCTAAGTCTCTAATGTCCGGAGGCAGCCCGTAAGCCTCTAAGCCTCTAAACGCCTCTAAGCCTCTAAGCCTCTAAACGCCTCTAAGCCTCTAAGCCTCTAAACGCCTCTAAGCCTCTAAACGCCTCTAAGCCTCTAAACGCCTCTAAGCCTCTAAACGCCTCTAAGCCTCTAAAAACGCCTCTAAGCCTCTAAGCCTCTAAACGCCTCTAAGCCTCTAAACGCCTCTAAGCCTCTAAGCCTCTAAACGCCTCTAAGCCTCTAAACGCCTCTAAGCCTCTAAGCCTCTAAACGCCTCTAAGCCTCTAAACGCCTCTAAGCCTCTAAGCCTCTAAACGCCTCTAAGCCTCTAAGCCTCTAAACGCCTCTAAGCCTCTAAACGCCTCTAAGCCTCTAAGCCTCTAAACGCCTCTAAGCCTCTAAACGCCTCTAAGCCTCTAAGCCTCTAAACGCCTCTAAGCCTCTAAACGCCTCTAAGCCTCTAAACGCCTCTAAGCCTCTAAGCCTGTAAACGCCTCTAAGCCTCTAAACGCCTCTAAGCCTCTAAACACCTCTAAGCCTCTAAACGCCCCTAAGCCTCTAAACGTCTCTAAACGCCTCTAAGCCTCTAAACGCCTAAGCCTCTAAACGCCTCTAAGCCTCTAAGCCTCTAAACGCCTCTAAGCCTCTAAACGCCTCTAAACGCCTCTAAGTCTCTAAGCATCTAAGCCTCTAAACGCTTCTAAGCTTCTTGACACCTCTAAGGCTCTAAACGCCTCTAAGCCTCCAAACGCCTCGAAGCCACTAAACGCCTCGAAGCCTCTAAACGCCTCTAAGCCTCTAAACGCTTCTAAGCTTCTTGACACCTCTCAGCTTCTTGACGCCTGTCAGCTTCGAAACGTCTCTAAGACATACCATCTTGAACAAAACAAACGATTTGAAATATCTTAAACTTCTCTTTCGCGACCTTTCGCGAAGCAAATTACTTTCGCGATCTTTCGCGACCCAGCATTTCTGTTTCGCGAAAGTGATGTAGTATAACTCCCTTACATAAACAATACATTGAGGTTTTTTCGTGGCTCAAATGATGATGATGATGATGACGATGATGATGATGCTGATGCTGATGCTGATGATGATGATGATGATGATTATCTGATAGCCTTGTTGGTAGATGTTCCCTCACAGATGTGACAAGACTCTTAGCTTACTAGTACCCAATGCTGTTTTCAACATGAAATCTCTATAGAATTGTTGACACCAACGTCCACGATAAAATCGCAAACGTTGACGTTGGACAGGTACCCCTAAAAAATTCCAAGGGGGATCGTTAGAGTCTATTCTCTTCTGCTAGGCTAGCGGCCTGTCCTGTTCCGTTCGGATCCATCCTTTCCGTTACAAGAGTCTTCCGCTAAGAGTCTTCCGTTCGGGTCTATCCTCTTCCGTTGAAGCCCACCTTCTTCCGTCAGAGTCTGTCCTCTTCCGTCAGAGCCTGTCCTCTTTCGTTCAAGCCCTGTCTTGTTTCGTTCGACTCCTCACATTCGTTTGCAACCTCTCTCTTTCGTTAGACTCCTCCTGGCTTTCAATCGAAGTCCTTCTTCCGTTTCAATGTTTAGCGGGCCTGATCCCCCATACTCTGTTTCTCTCAGAGTATGGGGGATCAGGCCCGCTAAGGTTTGCCAAGCCTCAAAGCTGCAAAGCCTCTTTGGCGCTTCGCGCCTCAAAGCTTCAAAGCCTCAAAGCTGCAAAGCCTCTTTGGCGCCTCACGCCTCAAAGCCTCAAAGCTCCAAAGCCTCTCTGGCGCCTCACGCCTCAAAGCCTCAAAGCCTCAAAGCTGCAAAGCCTCTTTGGCGCCTCACGCTTCAAAGCCTCAAAGCCTCAAAGCCTGAACGCTTGGATGCTTTTGCGCTTTGGCGCTTTGGCGCTTGGCGGCTCTTTCAGGCTTTGGCGCTTCTTGACGCTTTTCCGACGCCTCAAAGCCTCAAAGCCTCAAAGCCTGAACACTTGGATGCTGTGGCGCTTTAGCGCTTTGGCGCTTGGCGGTTCTTGCACACTTTGGCGCTTCTTGACGCTTTTCCGACGCCTCAAAGCCTCAAAGCCTCAAAGCCTGAACGCTTGGATGCTTTGGCGCTTTGGCGCTTTGGCGCTTGGCGCTTTGGCGCTTTGGCGCTTTGGCGCTTTGGCGCTTGGCGCTCTTGATGCTTTGGTGCCTCTTGGCCCTTTGGCGCTTTGCGGCTCTTTGACGCTTTGGCGCTTTGGCGCTTTGGCGCTTTGGCGCTTGGCGCTCTTGATGCTTTGGTGCCTCTTGGCCCTTTGGCGCTTTGCGGCTCTTTGACGCTTTGGCGCTTCTTGGCGCTTTGAGACTTCGCGGCTCTGTGACGCTTTGGCACTTTGCGGCTCTTTGAGACATGCCATCTTGGAAAAAAAAGTGATTTTGTAGATTTTACTTTTTTCAAGCACCGATTGAAACATAGGTATAAAAGCTGTTTCGGAGAAAAACAAAGGGCCAGATTGTTTGTATTTGAGGGCCAGCGCTCACCTGCAGCCAGCGAACTTACGACTACCTGTTTAGTAATTTTTGTGGGTTGTTTAATGATGGTTTACCTTAGTAGGTGATTAACAAGCGTGGTTTGTAAGTCGCCGTTTCGCGGGTCATAACATCTTTGAGTGTGTTATAACTTATAACTTTGCTTATTGAGCATGTCATCATTGATGAAAAGGGTATATTCTAACTGGTGGAGGTTTGAATTCCATCGTCATACCTATATCAGATCTTATAAACCAGGCCCTGCGGAGTTTTGAAGCCGACCATCAATAGATTGGTTGAAGGAAAAATCTCCATCTTGACCAGAGTCTTAATCTTGTTTTTTGCTGTTGCGTTTGTTGTTTTTGGTAAGGGCAAGGACGAGCGAGAACTTTGCAGCGTATCATCTCAACAGGTCAGGAGTGGAGAGCCTATGGGATATTCTAGGCATAGCCCATTCTATATATGAAATCTATGGGCTTGAGTTCCAAGTAAAGAATTTAAAATCTATTGGCTGGATAGCCAATTATTTTACATATAGATTTTTGGGATAGCCTTGATCCAAACAATTTTTTTTCTTGGGCTGGATAGCCCTGACAAAAAAAAGGCTGAGCAGCCTTGAAAAAATAGATTTAAACAAAACTACAAAAATATCACATGAACACCCATGAACACCCATGAACACCCATGAACACATTCACATGAACACCCCTGAATTCACATGAACACACCTGAAAATCTATGAACCTGAAATATTTTTAAAAAAACAAATAAAAAAAAAACAATTTTTTTCTTCCGAGAAAAAATCATTGTATATTTATTTTTCTGTTTTTTTGCCAATATATACTTTGGGCTGGACAGCCCCTTGAGCCAAAACAATAAGTACCATTTGCAATAACTATTTTGGACTAGGTATTTGAGCCAGAACAAACACCAACACTTATTTTTTTGGCTGGATAGCCATCAATTTCTTGGGCTGGATAGCCCATTGAGCCACAAAAAAAAATACAACACATGTGATTTGATTTGGCCTCAACTTGAGCAATCTGCTTCAAAATCCAGAAAGCTTTTGGCCCCAAGAGAAAACAAAGACCACAGCCATAGCAATGAAGAGGCCAGCAGCAGCAGCAGGCTTCAAGAGGCCAGCTGCCAAGGCAGAGGAAGAGGATACACCTGAGGGTGCTCACCAGCCACTCACAGCTCAAGCAGTCAAGGACCACAACAAGTTTTGTGAGGAGGCAGCCCAAATGTCCAGTTCTCAGTTTGAGAAGGCATTGAGCTGCTTAGATGAGAAGGCTGCAATGAGGTTGTGGAAGGCTTTTGAAAAGCCCAGGAAAAGCTCTGGGGCCCAGGAGGAGTACAAAGCCACCACCAGTGAGTCAGTGGGAAGCCTTGCCAAGAAGCGAAAACTTCTGTTTGGCTGGGTGTGTGATGGGCAGACCACAGGTGAACACTACAAGGCAATGGTGGACAAGGTCTCTTTGAAGAAAAGTGAAGGAGTCACCAGCACCTGGCTCACAAAGGCCCAGGCACTGGCACACTGGGGGAAAGAAGAGTTGCAGGAGAGGGTGGCTTCTGGAAGTATAGTTGCCAGGAAGGATCCAGCAGATCCCAATTACTGGCAGTTCAGGGCCAACACTGAGCAGTCTCAGGTGAATGTGACCAGGGAACAAGCTTTCACTTTTGAGAAGAAGAACAAGAGCAACCTGAAGGAGCTGGAGCAGGTAATGAGGAGCAAGGGCTTAGAGAAGCTCACAGAAGCAGACTTCTGTGCCCCAAGTGAAGAGAGTGGTGAAGACAGTGATGGGCTGCCAGCTGGCCTCTCTAAGGCTTTGGGCACCAAGTCTGACAAGAGCAAGAAGGAGAAGAAGGAGAAAAAAGAGAAGAAAGAAGGCAAGAAGGACAAGTGGGAGGAGATGAGCACTGTGCAGGAGGAAGATGGCCAAGCACAACTCCTCAACAGGCTGATGGCTTTCAAGGTGGAGCTCACCAAGGACTTGGCAACCTTGGATGGCTTGTGCCACTCTAAGGACATGCCCAAGGCACTCCTGAAGGATGTTGCCAAGACCCAGAAGGAAGGCCAAGAGGTTTTGACCTTGGTGGGGAAGCTCCACAAAGATAAGGGCAAGAAGAAGGAGGTGGTCCCAGCCTTGCAGAAGGCCTTTGCTGTGCTGAAAAAGCTGAAAGCTAAGAAGCTGCTCGTGTCAAAAGCCTTGAAGGCTTAAACACTTTTTGAAGCAGAGCAGGGGTGCCCACCAAGTGTTGAACTGAACACACAAAATGTCTGTAGTTGAGATCATAAGTGGCACCCCTGGCCAAAGTTTTGCGATGGCAGACTGGCAAACTCAACCTCAAGCTGCTCTTGAAAGCAAACAGGTCAGCTGGGAAGCCCTTTGCCTTTGCTGGGCTGGACAGCCCTTGTTACCATTGTTGGGCTGGATAGCCCTTGAATTGGGCTGGACAGCTCGTGTTATCATTGTTGGGCTGGAGAGCCCTTGACATGGCAATTGGGCTGGACAGCCCTTGTTAAAGCTGAATGAAGTTGCCCCTTTAGCTGCTCAAAAGTTGTGGAGAAATGGACCCATGTCCTTTGTGGGTGCTGTTGCTCAAGAAGTTCAGCATAGGAAAGCTGTCAGCCATAGAAGTGCAGGAGCTTGCTTCAGCAGCAGTTAAGAGTGGGCTGGAGAGCCAGTGTGTGGGGAAGTTGGCTGAGCTTGGGGCTTGTGGGCATTCACCTGGCAATTGCCACAGAGACTTGGTGAGAAAGTATTTTCGCTTTCTAGAAGCTCCAGATCCCTGGGAGGTGTATGGCCCCCTGGCTGTGAAGAAGGGTGGCCATAGAGTAGAGCAGGTGACTGCCATTCACCTCCTGCTACCTCACCACTGGGTCCTTCAGGCTGAAGAGAACAACTTCTTGAAGAGTTTGTGCTGCAAGGATGAAGAATTAGTTGCTTTCTGGAAGAGCCAATCTTCATGCCCCCAGATGACAGCTGAGCTGAAGAAAGTGATTGAAACATCACAACCAAGCCAGCTTCCAGTGCCATACCTTTTGCATGGAGATGCAGCGCCCTTCACAGAGGTGGACAGCATCCAGGTGCTCAGCTTCAGGCTTGGCTTCCTTTCCTGCTTTGGGCTGGATAGCCCTTGCCTGCATGTCCACCTTGGCTGCTATGTTTTGCCTCATTGGGCTGGATAGCCCTTGGGCTGGATAGCCCTGGGCTGGATGCCATGTGCCCTGAAGGTGCTTGCTTTCCAGCAAGGCAGTGACCCAGAGCCAGATGCTAATCGCAGCTGTGCCCAAGGCTGCCATGACCAAGGAGACCCCCAAGAAGCTGATGGAAGTTTTGGTCTTGGAAAGTGCTGTGGGATGGTGTGGTGCCCAAAAAAGATGAGGCAGGGATGCCCACAGAGAAATACAAGGGGAAGAGAATGAGGAGGGGAGTGCTATGGTCAGTGAGTGGAGATTTAGAATGGTTTGCAGCTGAGTTTGGTTTCCCTTATGCTGCAGCCAACCTTCTCTGCCCCTATTGCAATGCAGACCAATGCAAAGAAGACAGCCCCAGGCCTTTCACAGATTTCAGGCAAACCGCAGCCTGGAGAGCCAGTGTGCTGTCACCGAGCAAATTCAAGGAGAAGTTTGGAGCACACCCACTCTTCAGAGCTCCATGTGTGACCCCTTTGTCCATTAGGCTGGACATTTTGCACATCCTGGACCTCGGTGTAGCAGCATATGCACATGGATCTTTGCTTTTTAGCATCATGGAGAAGTTGCCAGGAGCTTCCAGATTTTTGCCAGCAATAGCAGCTTCATTTTTTTTCGGCTGGATAGCCCCAATATAGTGTGTGCAAGCAAACAATTTTTGGCCAGCTGAGGAGCTGTCAGGCTAACCAACCTGAACAAGAAGATAGTGGAAGCCTATGACAAGCTGGGGGTGGCAGCCCAAAAGAGGATCAAGCACCTGTCTTTGTCAGACCTGGCTGAGAGTGCAGAAGAATACCCTTGCCTCAAGCACATCAAAGGAGCTAAAATTCGCTATTTTGCCCCAGTAGCTTTGGAGCTGGCCAAGGAGTACAGCATGGACAAGGCTGGGAAGCACAGGGAAGCATTGGCAAAGCAGTTGGTCAAGGCATACCAAGTCTTAGAGTGCAGCTGGCAAGAATGGCGGTTTGAAACTTTCAAGAAGGCAGTGGATGATTTCATGGCCCACTACAGCTGGCTGGCAGCCAATGCCTTGGAGGAAGGCTTGCACCTTTGGAGTTTAGTGCAGAAATCCCATGTTTTGCTCCATTTAGCAGAGCAAAGCAAATTCATGCACCCCAGCCTGAACTGGACATATGGGAGTGAATCTTTCATGGGCTGGATAGTCCAAATCGCTTCAAGCTGCACAAGTGGCACTCCAGCTGAGAAGCTTCCCTTGAAGGCCTTGCAAAAATTCAGGCTTCTGTTTCACCTTTACCTGAAAGGGTACATCTCGCTGGATGATGATGATGGGAGGTGAGCAAAAAAGAATTGCTTCAGTTCTGTCTTGGTAGGCTGGACAGCCTTTGCAGTCCTGCAGGAAGGAAGGTTGATAGGCTGGACAGCCTCTTGGATTCCACACAAGTTTTGAATGGTTGAGGCTGGAAAGCTTTCTCCACAGCCCTTTCTGGTTCTGGTAGCCCTGCCCAAAAAAGAGAAGCTCCTGTGCCATGGAAGCAGTGCCCAAGAGAAGGAAAGTGAGCTGGGTGAAGGCTGAGGAGACAGCTGACCCAGAGCTTTGGGCTGCAGGCTGGAGGCTGGACCCAAATGAGGATAGCCAAGTCATGTGCCCCCACCAGAAGAAGATGAGCAAGGAGAAGATGGGCAAGGAGATGGGCAAGGAGAAGAAAGCCTACAAAGAGAAGAAGAAAGGAAAGAACCTGAAGAAAATTAGGTGTACAAAGCAGGGCTGCTGTGGACTACCAAAGCTAGCCCCAGGGGAAAAAGGTTGCTCCCACTGGCTGCCTTGCCATGGGCTGGACAGCCCCAAGTTGTGGGCTGGAAGTGGGCACACAATTTCCCATTGGGCTGGACAGCCCCATCACCACCACATGGGCTGGACAGCCCCACCATGGGCTGGACAGCCCCATCATGGGCTAAGCCTCTAAGCCTCTAATGTCTGGAGGCAGCCTGTAGCCTCTAATGTCCGGAGGCAGCCTGTAAGCCTCTAAGCCTCTAAGTCTCTAATGTCCGGAGGCAGCCCGTAAGCCTCTAAGCCTCTAAACGCCTCTAAGCCTCTAAGCCTCTAAACGCCTCTAAGCCTCTAAGCCTCTAAACGCCTCTAAGCCTCTAAACGCCTCTAAGCCTCTAAACGCCTCTAAGCCTCTAAACGCCTCTAAGCCTCTAAACTCTAAACGCCTCTAAGCCTCTAAGCCTCTAAACGCCTCTAAGCCTCTAAACGCCTCTAAGCCTCTAAGCCTCTAAGCCTCTAAACGCCTCTAAGCCTCTAAACGCCTCTAGACGCCTCTAAGCCTCTAAACGCCTCTAAACGCCTCTAAACGCCTCTAAGCCTCTAAACGCCTCTAAGCCTCTAAACGCCTCTAAGCCTCTAAACGCCTCTAAGCCTCTAAGCCTCTAAACGTCTCTAAGCCTCTAAACGCCTCTAAGCCTCTAAGCCTCTAAACGCCTCTAAGCCTCTAAGCCTCTAAACGCCTCTAAGCCTCTAAACGCCTCTAAACGCCTCTAAGCCTCTAAGCCTCTAAACGCCTCTAAGCCTCTAAACGCCTCTGAGCCTCCAAGCCTCTAAACCTCTAAGCCTCTAAACGCCTCTAAACGCCTCTAAGCCTCTAAGCCTCTAAACGCCTCTAAGCCTCTAAGCCTCTAAACGCCTCTAAGCCTCTAAGCCTCTAAACGCCTCTAAACGCCTCTAAAAACGCCTCTAAGCCTCTAAGCCTCTAAGCCTCTAAACGCCTCTAAGCCTCTAAACGCCTCGAAGCCTCTAAACGCCTCTAAGCCTCTAAACGCTTCTAAGCTTCTTGACATCTCTCAGCCTCTTGTTGCCTGTCAGCTTCGAAACGTCTCTAAGACATGCCATTTTGAACAAAACAAACAATTTGAAATATCTTAAACTTCTCTTTCGCGACCTTTCGCGAAGCAAATTACTTTCGCGATCTTTCGCGACCCAGCATTTCTGTTTCGCGAAAGTGATGTAGTATAACTCCCTTACATAAACAATACATTGAGGTTTTTTCGTGGCTCAAATGATGATGATGATGATGATGATGCTGATGCTGATGATGATGATGATGGTGATGATGATGATGTTTATCTGATAGCCTTGTTGGTAGATGTTCCCTCACAGATGTGACAAGACTCTTAGCTTACTAGTACCCAATGCTGTTTTCAACATGAAATCTCTATAGAATTGCTGACACCAACGTCCACGATAAAATCGCAAACGTTGACGTTGGACAGGTACCCCTAAAAAATTCCAAGGGGGATCGTTAGAGTCTATTCTCTTCTGCTAGGCTAGCGGCCTGTCCTGTTCCGTTCGGATCCATCCTTTCCGTTACAAGAGTCTTCCGCTAAGAGTCTTCCGTTCGGGTCTATCCTCTTCCGTTGAAGCCCACCTTCTTCCGTCAGAGTCTGTCCTCTTCCGTCAGAGCCTGTCCTCTTTCGTTCAAGCCCTGTCTTGTTTCGTTCGACTCCTCACATTCGTTTGCAACCTCTCTCTTTCGTTAGACTCCTCCTGGCTTTCAATCGAAGTCCTTCTTTCGTTTCAATGTTTAGCGGGCCTGATCCCCCATACTCTGTTTCTCTCAGAGTATGGGGGATCAGGCCCGCTAAGGTTTGCCAAGCCTCAAAGCTGCAAAGCCTCTTTGGCGCTTCACGCCTCAAAGCTTCAAAGCCTCAAAGCTGCAAAGCCTCTTTGGCGCCTCACGCCTCAAAGCCTCAAAGCTCCAAAGCCTCTCTGGCGCCTCACGCCTCAAAGCCTCAAAGCCTCAAAGCTGCAAAGCCTCTTTGGCGCCTCACGCTTCAAAGCCTCAAAGCCTCAAAGCCTCAACGCTTGGATGCTTTTGCGCTTTGGCGCTTTGGCGCTTTGGCGCTTGGCGGCTCTTTCAGGCTTTGGCGCTTCTTGACGCTTTTCCGACGCCTCAAAGCCTCAAAGCCTCAAAGCCTGAACACTTGGATGCTTTGGCGCTTTAGCGCTTTGGCGCTTGGCGGTTCTTGCACACTTTGGCGCTTCTTGACGCTTTTCCGACGCCTCAAAGCCTCAAAGCCTCAAAGCCTGAACGCTTGGATGCTTTGGCGCTTTGGCGCTTTGGCGCTTTGGCGCTTTGGCGCTTTGGCGCTTGGCGCTCTTGATGCTTTGGTGCCTCTTGGCCCTTTGGCGCTTTGCGGCTCTTTGACGCTTTGGCGCTTTGGCGCTTGGCGCTCTTGATGCTTTGGTGCCTCTTGGCCCTTTGGCGCTTTGCGGCTCTTTGACGCTTTGGCGCTGCTTGGCGCTTTGAGACTTCGCGGCTCTGTGACGCTTTGGCACTTTGCAGCTCTTTGAGACATGCCATCTTGGGGGAAAAAAAGTGATTTTGTAGATTTTACTTTTTTTCAAGCACCGATTGAAACATAGGTATAAAAGCGGTTTCGGAGAAAAAACAAAGGGCCAGATTGTTTGTATTTGAGGGCCAGCGCTCACCTGCAGCCAGCGAACTTACGACTACCTGTTTAGTAATTTTTGTGGGTTGTTTAATGATGGTTTACCTTAGTAGGTGATTAACAAGCGTGGTTTGTAAGTCGCCGTTTCGCGGGTCATAACATCTTTGAGTGTGTTATAACTTTTAACTTTGCTTATTGAGCATGTCATCATTGATGAAAAGGGTATATTCTAACTGGTGGAGGTTTGAATTCCATCGTCATACCTATATCAGATCTTATAAACCAGGCCCTGCGGAGTTTTGAAGCCGACCATCAATAGATTGGTTGAAGGAAAAATCTCCATCTTGACCAGAGTCTTAATCTTGTTTTTGCTGTTGCGGTTTTTGTTTTTGTAAGGCAAGGACGAGAACTTGCAGCGTATCATCCAACATGTCTGAAGGTTGGGGACAAGACCTGACAGCGTAGCACCCAAGATGATTGAAAGTTAAGGACAGGTCTTACAGCGTGTTATCCAAGATGGTTGAAAGTTAAGGACAAGATCTTACACCGTACAACCCATAATGATTGAAAGTTAAGGACAAGGCCTTTCAGCATAGCATCAAACATGTTTGAAAGTTAAGGACAGAATCTTGCACCGTAACATCCAAGATGCTGGAAAGTTAAGGAGAGGATCTTGCAAAGTAGCATCAAGCATGTTTAGAACTTAAGGACAAGACCTGACACCGTTGCATCAAAGGTGTTTGAAGATTAAGGGCAAGGTCTTACAGCGTGGCATCCCAGATTCAAGATGTTTGTAATTCATGGACAAGATTTTAGAGCATATCATCCAAGATGTTCAAAGTTAAGGACAAGCGCTTCGAGCGCAGCGTCCAAGATGATTGAATGTCAAGGGCACGATCTTACACCGTAACACTCAAGATGATTGAATGTAAAGGATAAAGTCTTACTCCATAGCAACCAAAATCATACAAGATGATTGAAAGTTCAGTACAAGATCTTCTTGGGCAGCATCCAGATCTTCCAAGAACTTGTTATTATTTATCTTGTTCTCGTTTTCGTTCGTGTTCTTGTTGTTAATGTTGTTATCGCTGTTCTTGCTCTTGTTGTTTAACTATTGTGTTTTGTTATTGTTATTTTTGTTCTTGTTGTTGCTGCTGCTGTTGTTGTTGCTGATGTTGTGGTTCTTGTTTCTAATCTTGTGGTTATGGTTCTTTCTCTTGTTCTGGTTCTTGTTCTTGTTCGTCAAGGACAAGAACTTACAGCGTATCATCCAACATGTTTGAGGGTTAGGGACAAGACAAACAGAATCTTGGAGCGTAGCATCCGACATGTTTGAAGGTTAAGGACAAGCAAAGATTTGCAAGTCAAGGACAAAATCTTACACGGTAGCATCCCAGATGATTGCAAGATCAGGCTGCGATCTGACAGCGTAGCATCAAGGATGATCGAAAGTTAAGGACAAGATCTGACTCTGTAGCGCCCAAGATGTTTGAAAGCACAAGATCTTACGCCGAAGCACCAATGATGTTTGTAATTTATGGACAAGATCTTACATGCTTGCATCCAAGATGTTTGAAGGCTAAGGACAACAGCTTACAGCGTACCATCCAACACCCCCTTACAGCGTATCATCCAACATGTTTGCAAGTTAAGGACAAGGCTTACACAGTAGCATTCAAGAGGATTGAAAGTTCAGGGCACGATCTTACACCGTAGCATCAAAGGTGATTGAAAATTAAGGGTAAGATCTTACAGCGAAGCATCCAAGATGTTTGTAATTCATGGACAAGATTTTAGAGCATATCATCCAAGATGTTCAAAGTTAAGGACAAGCGCTTCGAGCGCAGCGTCCAAGATGATTGAATGTCAAGGGCACGATCTTACACC